CACCGACCCTCACCTTCCCCGACCCATTCCCGACCCCGCTCCCTGATCCCTCATTCCCCGCGCAAGTCGCACTGAAAGCCTCCCCCTCCGCCCGCCCGCCTCCTCGCACGGCTGGCGCAAGGGGCACGGGTGGAATCCCCGCGGGGCTGGGACGCTGTGGCCGGGGCTGCGTGCATTGAATAATTGAATTTAATAAATCCCGTTCGTCAAACGGCTGCGACCGGGACGGGCGGGCGCTGAGGGAGGAGCGGGGCTGAGGGAGGGGCGGAGCTGAGGGAGGGGCGGGGCTGAGGGAAGGGCGGAGCTGAGGAAGGGGCGGGGCTGAGGGAGGGGCGCGAAAGTCCCACGGCCGCCGGGGGGCGGGGCGAACGGGGCGGGGCCGCGGGAGGAGCTGCGTGGCTCCGCCCCCGCAGTGTCACGTGACGTCGCCCGTGGCGACCGCGGCGCCCTCGCTGAGGGGCCGGAGCGGCGGCGGCAGCAGCGTGAGGGCACCCGCGGTCAGTGCGGGGCTCGGCCGGGCCGGGGGGAGCGGGCGGAGGGCTCTGGGACACCCACCTGGGCCGGGCCGGGGCAGGGCGGGGCGAGGCGCCTGGACTGTCCGTGATTCTCGGTGGCGCGGGGGCGGCTCTCCCGGGCGGCCGCGTCTGGGCCGAGCCGCTCCCAGGTGTAAGACCTGGGGCGGCGGCTCCGGGCGGGCAGGGGCAGGGGCTCGGGGGCGCGGGACCCCCGAGAGAGGTGCACACAGGTACCCACAGCCTGGCCTCAGCCAGCTGGGCCCTCAGCCCGCACCCCTGAGCCCACCTGCCCTCCCCACGGGGCTCCTCAAACCTGCTGCCCCCAGCCCTGCCATGCCATGCCCTCATGCCCTGCCCTGCCTGTGCCAGCCGGGCTGGCAGCTGAGCATGCACTGCTTTGGTCCCTCCCCTGGCACAGCCCAACTGCTCCTTGACAGGACTGGCCTGGTGCAGGCTCGGCTCTTCCTGCAGTTTCTGTGCAGCTCCTCTCACTGCCCAGGGCCCACAAGGGCTCTGAAGCCCCTTGGGCTTCTCAGAGCATCTGTAGGGCTGGGTGGGGACGTGGCACAGGCAGAGGGATTGTCCCTGGCATTCGGACCACATTGCCCCCAGGAACTCCCTGCAGTGGCAGGGAAGGCTATTCCTGGGGTTGGGAGCAGCACCCAAGGCTCAGGACACCAGGCACAGCTGGCCTGATGTTGTGCTGGTGGTGTGTAACCATTGGCACGCTGCTGCTGGTTTGTGCTTCCATTTCCCCGTGGGTAATAGCTGTGCCATTGTGGAAGTTGTGAGAGTTCTCGTGTCCTGGGGCTGGGTGTAGAAGCAGGGCTGGGCTGAGGAGATCTCCCCTGCTTCCAGGGCAGCAGCTCAGGCAGAGCCAGGCTGTGCTGGAGGGAAACAAGGAGGCAAAAGGGGGTTTTCTTCTCCATTTTTTGTCTTCATTATTTTGTTTAATTTATTAGTAACTTTTGCATGGAAAAAAAGTTAAAGTGTAGAAGTATCTGTGCAGTTCTTCAATATATCTGCCAAACATGAGAATAGAACTGAAAGAAATAAAAAGAAAGTTTGTCAATGTAAACATCTAGGCCCACATCCAAAGCCCCTCCTAAGTCTGTCTAATATAATTTAGTCCATCACCTGCCATCTACCATCTCCAATGAAGTGTCAATAGAATCAGGTCAGAAAGTTCCAGTCTCTGACATCCCTCTCTGGCAAAGAGGCCTGAATGTTTTCAGCCCCCTGGTCAACGAGGATGAAGTTGGAGAGGTCCTCGCTTGTTTCATTGTGCCAGGCACGCTCCAGGAAAGCTGTGGCCATGAGGGTTTCATCCAAGCCTGCGTTGTCATGGTTGGGTTTGGTGAGGACTTGCTCCTGTTCTTGGGGACAGTCCGTGTGCTGCCCTTGTCCCGTCCAGTCCAGGTGCGGTGTTACAGGCTGGATGGGAGGCGGGAGCTCCAGATCCCCGAGAATGGAGAAGTCTCCTTCGTCCAGGTGGTTGTTCAGGAGAGCTTCCCAGTCAGTGTCACCCTTCAGCTCGATCAGCTCGTTCCGCTCCTCCTGGGTCCCGGGAGCAGAGCTGGGAAGCCGAGACACATTGGCCGTTGGTGTGGGCTGCTTGCGCTGCTGCCCCGCTTCCTTCTCCATGGCATTCTGGTTCTGGCTGTTTTCAAACTCTTCAAACTCCTTCAGCAGCTGCTGCAGCTCCACGCTTATCTCGAGGTTGTTATGGGAGCTACAGGCTGAGGCAGCTGGGCTGATGACTTGCTGTGCCTCTTGCTGGGCTCTTTCAGGGGAGGCTGGCTGGATCTGCACTGGCGACATCCTCCACTCTTTGAAGGCCCTGCTCTTGAGCCGGTTGGCATATCGGGAGTGGAGCTTCCAAAATGCGCCTCTCCCTGGTTCGCTCTTCTCCCGGGTCACCTTGATGAAGCACTTGTTGATGCAGAGGTTGTGCCGGATGGAGCTCTAGGTCCAAAAGAGAAAAAAACCCCAAGGCTGAATGTTTGTCTGCTGGCGTGAGAGGGACCTACCTGTGTGGGGAGGCTGGTGCTAAAGCAGGTTTTCAGCAAGGCCCTTTGGGAAAAGAAAGCAGAAATGGCAACAGCAAGACATCTTGGGCTACGTGCCCTCCAGAAAATCCTCTGAATGTGCCTGGAGTGCAGCAAATAATCAGAAAGGAAACTCAGTTGTTGGGTAAATAACCCAGCACTGGGCTCCCCAAAGCCAAGCCAAAGCAGCCAGCTCCTCCTCCCAAAGTGCTCACGTAGTTCCCCCAGCACAGGAGAGGCTGGGGAACCCAGGTGGCCCTGGAGAGGAAGAGGGACCTTGTCTTGCAGGGTGGAGGCTGTGGAAAGCCCTGCCCAGCCCTGTGTGGAGAGGGGCTGAGGCAAGAGGGCTGCAAATCTCCTACCTGCCAGGTGGGATCAGCAGGTTGGAAGTAGCAGAAGTTGTCACTGATCCACTTGCAAATGGCCGAGAGGGTGATCTTGGGCTTCTTGCTGGCTTCCATCGCCATGCAGATGAGGGTGGCGTAGGAGTAGGGTGGCCTGACGTGCGGGTTGGTCTTGTAGTTGATGTTCCCGGCGAGCTGAGAGGGCTCAGCCACATTGTGGTGCGTCGTGGTGGTCATCAAGGTGGTGGAGGAGGAGGTGGCCGTGTGGGGAATGTCGATGTACTCGCACAGCTCCTCAGCAGTCAGGGGGAAGCCTGGGGACTGAAAGTCCACCAGACTCACCAAATTTTCCCAGATGGTGCAGCGGTCCTCGGGGTCCTCGGATATAGGGGACAAGCCGATGTGGGCGCCCGTGAGGTTAGCCAGCCACATGAGGTCTGGCTCGCTGCCCGGCCTGTCTTCCTGGGTGGAGCTCAATTGCCCCTGAGCTCTCAGCACAGGGCTGAAGCACACCATGCCTTGGCACGTCATTGGGTGCATGTGAAGGGGAGGGAATGGATAGGACAGATCCTGCAAGAACAAGAGGGAGAGAGTTGAGGTTCCCTGAGGCACAGTCGCTCTCTGGCACCTGGGCAGGGCCGGGCCTGAGTGCTCCCGGTGTCGCTGGGCAATACCCATCCCTGGGGTACCGGGCATGAGAGCTGCAATGTCTGCTCTGGGGGTACTTTAGCAGCCCTGGCCCTTGGGGAAATTCCCTCAAACTGTCGTGCTCCCAGTGCCACCCAAACCCCAGTGGGCTGGTGCTGCCCAGCAAGCTTTCAGCTGAAAAACCAACAAACCCCCCCACAACCACAACCCCCAAAATCTGGCCCTGCCATCCCACCAAGAGAGGTCATTTCTCCCACCTGTCCTGAGCAGGACAAACTCTCAGGGTCTAACACCTCGGCTAAAGACCTTAAAGTCTTCATCTGGTCTGCCCCATTCCCACAACCTGTCTCCCTCGGTTTGATGCTATTTATGCTTCTCCCTTCCCCTGGTACCCCAAACCAACCCGGGTGGGGGGGCGCAGGGACCCACGCCAAGCACAGCGTCACTTCGAGCCAAGCCGGCAGCTCCGGGCTTTGGGGAATACCGGGCAGGGGATGCGGCGCTGGCTCCGGTGCCGGGCTGCAAAACCGGAGTCCCGTGGTGGATTTTAGGCCACGAGAGAGCGAGCTCCCGGACGGCAGCGGGGGCCGCTGGCCCGGCTGTCGCGGGGGTTTGGCGGCGAGAACGATGCGGAACCCCCCGCGCGCGGGCGGCGCGGCCGTTGGGGGGAGCAGGGGCAGCTCTCCTCCCGCTTCCAGGAAACGGGCTTTTTTTTTTTTTTTTTTTCCCCGGACCAGGACAGGGGTTTTCCGCCAAAACGAAGGCTCCGGGCAGCTTGCTCAGGTGCCCGGTCCCCAGCGTCAGCACCCAGCCCCGGCCAGCTCCCGCGCCCGCAGTAAGGGAGCGGGGGCATCCCCCAAGTGCTCGCTCGCTGCAACCCTCCGCAGCGCCGGGCGGGCCCGTCCCGCCGCCCTCCCCAGCCCCCGGCCGCTCCCCGACGCCGTCCCTTACCCCGTGCCGGTGTCGTGCCGGAGCTTCCGCAGCTCAGGAGAGAGCTCGTCGTTTTTGGAAACGCAGGACGGCAGCAAAAAAAAACAACAAACAATCCGTAGGGAAAAAGAAGGGACAAGAGCAGGGCCGGGGGCAAGAGCAGGGCCGAGGGCTCGGCGCCCCGCGCTGTGCCCGGGTCGGGCCGTGCCCGCCGAGTCGCCGACAGTCGCCGACAGTCGCGGCCGCCCCGGCGCTGGGGGCAGGGGGGGGTCTGGAAGGATTCGCGCGTGGCGGCGACGACGCCCCGCCCCGTCAACATCGCCCGGCCCTGCCATTGGTGCGCGCGTTGCCGTGGGCGGGGCCTGCCGGACGGGCCCCGCCCCCGCGGCGGGAAGGGGCCCAAAGCCCATTGCCCTGTCCCCCAGTACATGTGGGACCCCCAGCAGCCCGGACAGGGGGGACCCCCAGAACCCCAGGATGGAGAGACCAGAGAACAGGATCTCCTGAGAGGGTTTTTTGGGGCTCAATGTTGGTATTTTGGAGGTTTTTACAGTCGCAAGATGCTTGGTGACTTTTAGATATGGACTTGGACTGGAGGAACCCCCAACCCAATGTGCTCACACCTTGTTTTTGCTCCTCAAAACAGGATTTCTCCTTCCTTGGCCAGATGGAGGAGGAGGCTCCAAGGAAGAGGAAGATGCTGCGGGACACTCAGGCAGGTGAGGAGGAAGTCAGTGCCCCTTTGCCCCTGTCTTTCCTACATCTTCCAGCCGAGCATCGCCCCCGGCTGCAGGACAACCCCGCTGACGCCGCTGTCCTGCCAGGGACAGATTTGGGGGGATCTCCTTGCCCTTCCCTCTGGGCCGGAGGCAAATCACTTCTCTGTCCTTCTTCTTTCCTGCCCTAGGCCCCGAGCTGAGGATGGAGAGCACGGAGGACAAATTCCCCCATCAGAACCTGGTGGGAGAGGCCGTTTTGAACAGCTCCATGGTGCAGGAAGGCAGCGGGGAGGAAAAGTCCCGGACGTTCCCCAGGAGGAGGGACTCCAAAGCCAGCCCAGGGTGCTTCGAGGAGGAAAGATTCACCCTGTGCTGGGAAGGCAGCCAGAGCTCGAGCCTGGTGGTCCCTGAGCAGTTTCACACTGAGAAGAAGCCTTACAAGTGTTTGGAATGTGGGAAGAGCTTCAGATGGAACTCCCACCTCATCACCCACCAGCGCATCCACACTGGGGAACGGCCCTACACCTGTGGGGAATGTGGGAAGAGCTTCAGGCACAGCTCCCACCTCATCACCCATCAGAATTTCCACAGCGGGGAACGGCCCTACACGTGTGGGGAATGTGGGAGGAGCTTCATCCGGAACTCTGACCTGATCTGCCACCAGAAGATCCACACTGGGGAACGGCCCTACAAGTGCTTGGAATGTGGGAAGAGCTTCAGCAAGAGCACTGCCCTCCTCACCCACCAGCACCTGCACACAGGGGAACAGCCCTACACCTGTGGAGAGTGTGGGAAGAGCTTCAGCCAGAGCTCCAACCTCATCACCCACCAGCGTGTCCACACTGGGGAACGGCCCTACACGTGTGGGGAATGTGGGAAAAGCTTCAGCCAGAGCTCCAGCCTGACCTGCCACCGAAAGATCCACACTGGGGAACGGCCCTACAAGTGCTTGGAATGCGGGAAAAGCTTCAGCAAGAGCTCCCACCTGATTCGCCACCAGCAGATCCACACGGGGGAACGGCCCTACAGGTGCTTGGAGTGTGGGAAGAGCTTCAACGTCAGCTCCAACCTGATCCGCCACCAGCAGATCCACGTCGGGCAACAGTCCTAAAAGCGTGGGGCATGTGGGACGACCTTCAGTGACAGCTGAAGGGTAGTTCCAGCCAGAGCCAGCCTTTGACAGAGTCCACGGGAGGAATCGCCCTCTGCCCTTCTCCCTGCCCCGTCTGTGGCGGCCCCTCAGAGACCCGGCAGCGCCCCCTGCCGGCGGCAGAGCCCCCACGGCCCCTCAGAGACCCGGCAGCGCCCCCTGCCGGCGGCAGAGCCCCCCGCGCCTCAGAGACCTGACAGCGCCCCCTGCCGGCCGTGAGCGAGGCACTGCAGCCCCGCCCCCTGATGCGTAGCGCCCCCTGCTGGCCGCGGTTATCACTGCGCCGAGAGGCGAAATACGGCTTTAATTGTTTTATTGGTGCGAGTTTGGGTGCGGGATTGCTGCTCGTTTTCTTTCGTTGTGTTACCTGCACGTATATGTTCTCTAGCAAAGAGCTCTATTTTTTCTTTTCCATGCCTTTTCGCCTGGAGCGTCTTAATTTCGAAGTTATAATTACTTAGGAGTAATTATTAATTACTTGGTTTTTCTCATATCTTGCCCTCCTTAGCAAATGCTTCTGCCTCGTTAAACTGAGACAGTCAGGATGTTGCTGCTAAGTAGAGTTGCCTCCTGCATAAGAAGAGCTGCTGCTTTGACATATTTGGTCTCAGCAATTACAATTTCAATATCCTCATTTAAAAATTTAATTTCTGTCTCTAGTTTTCCAATAAATTATATTCCAATAAATTATATTCCAATAAATCTCTTCCTAAAATAGGTTTAGGGGAATTTGGCAAATAGAGAAAGGTGCCTGCACAGAAAGCTCTTGCTGTCCCTGTTGTGCCAGGAGTAGTGCACCAACTGCACTTGAGAGATTCAAGGTAAAGTGTCGCATTGAAGGCACAGCAGTACCCAGTCTGTGCCCTGTCACTGCCTTCTGTCAAGCTGTGGGGAACCACCCCCAAAGGAGCAGCACATTTGAAAGTATAGAAAGAAAAATGTAATCATTTACCAAAAAAAAAAAAAAAGGAAAGAAAGGAGATAAAAATCAGAAAGACTGTAGAAAATCCACCTCCTGAGGGATACTTCAGTTATCAGGAGAATTCCAGTGACAGAATATGGCTGGCTGCTGCTCCTGGATTTGTCATATAGTGCAGGACAACATCCTTGACCCACCTGCTGCTCCCTGGGATCAGTGTGTGCTGATGCAGAACTCACCCCAGGGACAGTTGTTGAGCTCAAAAACTGCAGCTGTCAGCAGAGAACAAGTAGAGAAAACCATCTTTGTCCAAATGCCCTTGGAATGCAGAGGGAGGGAAGGGACCTGATGCAAACACCTCGGCAGAGGCCCTGGCAGAACAGGCACCTCCCCTCCTTTTCAGTGCCTTTCTTCCATGCTGCTGTTTCCAATATTCCCAGCACGTTGCTGTCTCTGTTTGGATATATATGTTTCTGCATGTGTTCAGTATGGCTCTTCCCATAAGGAATGCTGCCTCCTCCACGGAACAGAGATGATGATCCACCAGCCAAGCAGATTCACTCACTCAGAACCACTTTCTGCTCCCCCATTTTCTTCCAGGAGACCATAAATCTATAATTTCTGTGGATTTTTGCCTTTTCCAGGAAACTGAACTGAGAGAAAACCAGAATCAGCCAGAGCAGCTGCTGTGCTTTTCCTAGTTCTGCCATGAAATGAGATTCAAGAGGCTGGTGTCTATCCTTGGCTGCATCCTCTGTATCCCTCTGGCACACAGAGGGATAATTAATGAAAAATTAGTAATCTGTATTTATGGGCTCCTTTTGCAGACAATATTTGATTAATCTCCACAGTCATCTACTCAAATAAGAAGAGATTAACCAACATCCTAATCTGTCATAAGTCATAAAGGCAGGGAGAGGAAGCTCTTACCTTGAGAGACAGACAGACAGAGGAGAGCCTACATTAGGGTTTAGCCTACATTTGTCTAAATCTAATTTAAGCCCTAAAATCATGGAATTTTAGACTGTGCTTCAAAGGACTGTAATCTGTGATGTGTTATGTGCTTCTCCCTCTGCATCCACCTGTCATTGTTGCTGATCACACCAGTTCTTGTCTCTAGCAAAGAAATCAGCTCACTCACTGATTCAGAGGGTTGCAGTGGGACCAGGAGTCCTCAGCCTGCAGAGCTTGTTTTGGAACGTCAAGGTCTGCCAGCTCCATTGAGGAGCATCAGGGGCTGGGATAATTGGGAAAGCAGGAGCTTGTTTTCTGCAGGAATGTCCCTGTGATGGTTTCTGGGGAGCTGCTGCAATTTGTGAATCAAAACCAAACAAAATCAACCCTGCAAATCTTTTCCAGGGACATTCTGGATTTCCTCAGGCTATAAAAACATTGACGCCTCTGAACATATCAGACCCGTTTTTCCGCATTCCAGGGCTACAGCCTACCTGTACCCTAAGGCTAAGACCAAATCACTGTCTCACCCAGTGATTTTTCCTTACATTCACAAGCTCTCTAAAAAATTCCCTCCCCAAATTTGCTTCGGGGGACATAGAGGAAACAGATAAGGAAATATTACAAATAGTACTTTTTCTATGGATATTCTGTGAAAGATGCAGATGCACAAGTGTGAAGGAGAGACCAGACTCCAAGGTGTTCATGACTCAGCACTATCAACATCTTTTTGTCAGAGGTGTCATCACGGAGTTGAAGTGAGTAGCAGCTGTGAGTCAGGATGGCAGCGTGGGCTCTGGCACGACAGGGAGCTGCTTTTCCCACTCTCTGCCTGTTCCATGAGCCACCAGCCCCCCACCAGCTCGTTCACAGGCTGCTGCAGACCATGAGAGCAGGATTAAATTCTTAGCTGGGAGGTAATTTTGTGGGTGTTTACCAAACAATGTTGATGTCTGATCAGACTGAAACCCCTTTAATTGGCATTTCCTTATGGTGGATGAGCCCACAGGACAAACCAGATGCCTTGGGGCCATCAGAGCATCCTAAACAGGAAAATATCAACCCTCTGTACAGAGCATTTGGTATCAACAGCATGATTTCTCCAGTGCTAGTGGTTTGCCTGGCCCATGTCCTGTTATCCTAGTAGGAATGTAAGGAGCCCACACTAAATCCAAACTATCTTTGACAGCTTTCTAGAAAATGTTTTATAAATATATATTCTGATTTCTCATTATTTGGGCAAAGAACTAAAGTATCTTGAGAGAAAAATCTTTGTTGCAGCAGAAATCTGGGTATTTAACGTGGTAGGAAATGCCATTTTCCAGCCTTGCCTTCCATATCATCCTGTCTTGTGCCTCACAGGAGCCAATTACATCCATTAAGGAATAGCACAAGAACCACAAACTAGACCAAATAAATCTGTGCTACTGTGAAACACGCATAAAACTGTAATTTTTAATGCTTTTGTGAGCTCTTTAAAGCACCATGGAACAGGCTGCAGGGAAAAGCAGGCATTTGGCAGCCAGTCACCTGGCAAATGTTAAAAGGAACAACTTCTGTATGGCTCAGGAGATGGCCAAGGTGACATCCACCTCTACCCTCTGGGTCTTTCTGCTTCGCTGGATTATATAATTTGGTTATTCTTTGGACAAAATGTGCAAGAATGTACATATTGGCAACAATAATAACAGCAAAAAGGGAAACCAAGAACACTGGTGGCTCTGCCTTGGTGCTCTCGTGTTGGCTTTGCCCTTTCCTTTGTAGACTCTTCAGTACAGAAATTCTTTTCTTCGGCCTCCCCTTTTTGTTCCACTTCATTTGCTGTGCAGAATTATTAATGCTCTGTGTGGAATTCTCTTATGGGGTTAGGTTTTTTCCTACAAACACAGTAGTGCTGCAGAGCCTTCCCTGTCTCTCAGGCTGATCTGCCACCATGAAAAAGCTGCAGGCACCAGGTTGGCTCTGTAACAGGAAAGGGAAACCTGACAAGCCACATGAAACGCTGAAACAGCAACTAAAACACTTGTTTTTCCCAGCAGGCACCCAGGGCCTCTTTGAGGATTAAACCTGCTGCTAAATTTAGCTGTGTCTCACTGGAGTTAGTATCAGAAGTTATCAGATCAGGACATCTCCCGGGGGAATGACGTGTGGCCCGTGGAAGTTTAAGCCCTGGCAGCTCCTCTCCTCCCTGGGCTGCAGCAGAGCTGGAGCTGGGAACGTTCTGTGGGGCCAGCACACAGTGGGATTCCCCAAAGGACATGGACCTGCTCTCATGAGCCTGTTCATTTACAGATCCTGAGCAAAATGATGACACTGACCTGGATGTCACAGCACACCAGAATTGTTAAAGCACCTGAAACACTCTAATCCCTTTTTTAGTTTTGTTTTGCTTTGGTTTTTTTTTTAATGTCATAAAGCTGGCACTGACCTTTCCCACTGGTTGGGTCACACAAACACTTTAAACCCTTCATTCCAAAGCAACTTAACACTCCCAACTGCTCTGATGAATTAAGGAGTGTTAACAAACATTTTAAAATAATTAAATCTGGGGGGAGACAAGTGAAACCCTTCAGAAAATAAACGACCCTTTGCAGGTCCTCATTTAGTGCACCAGGTTGATTGACTGTGCCATGTTTTCCTCATCACTCTCATCTCTGTGGCCTGGAGACAAGTTACTCCCTCTCTCTAGGAAATGCCCAGCTCCATTCTCAGGCTGTTTGGAGCAGAATCCAAAAAAAGAAAATGTGTGTACGGGCCCGGTGGGACTTCCCAGAAGTGCAGGAGCAGCCCTGTGTCCCTGTGGTTGTTGAAAGGTCCATCTTTGCTCCTGGGGATGAAGGACACCAGCCTGGAATTGTACCCGACTGCCAGTGCTGAGCCAGGGAAATTCCAGCCAGGTCCCATCTCCCTCACTAGGAAAGGCTTCACTAAATGGACCTTGTGACTCCTCTTTATGGCACTTATCTTCTCAATACTCACCCCATTCCTGTTGGGTACTCTGAAGGTGGTCAGAGCTCAAATTTTAACATCCCTTGGAATATTTCTCGTGGTTGGAAGCTGTGATTTGACTCAGTCCAAAAGACTCTGAAGGGCAAGGACTCTTAGAGTCTCTGTACTTAGA